CGCCTCACCGACCGGGAGCTGCAGGAGATCCTCAGGCAGGGGGAGTTGTTCAAGAAGCAGGACGACGACACCCGTGCCAACGCCTGGAGGGAGCGGTTTCGAGTGTAGCAAGCACCCTGTCTGTTTCTCATTTCATTTTAAAAACCTTCGATTATTTTTTGGTTGATTTTATTCTGAGTACAATGTTTGTATTATGTGATTTTAGTTTGTTGGCCTGAGTAGCCGTTGTAAAGTGTATACGTGCATAGTGTACGTGAGAATGAGTTACCTGTAAAAAAATTTTGTCGACTGGACTGATTGTTCATTAAATTTTCACAAGTGGAACCATTGGTTTCTTCTTAACTCTCCCAAGATAAGCATGCAGAAAAGTCCCTCGTTCACATACGAACTATGCTCAGAGGACATCAATTTAGACAAACGTCTTTTTAATTAGGGTCAACCCAGAATACTAAGATTGCACCCCATTTTCACAAACCTACACGCCGCCGCCGCACTGTGGGTCAGAAGACCGGCGCCGGCGGCCAAAATTCTAGACGCATCTTTGAGCTCCAGAGTCGCTAAATGGGACTCGAACCGAACGTGTGACCCCACCAATGGATTCGTCGTTCGGAGAGCAATCCATTGGTGGGGTCACACGCTCGGCTCGAGGCCAACTTGGCGACTCTGCAGCTCAAAATGCGTCTAGAATTTTGGCCGCCTCCACCGGTCTTCTGGCCCACTGTGGAGTCGTGCACGGCGACGTCATGGAGGTCACATAAGCCCCCGTTGTTGTCTGGTGCTCCTGCGCGAAGCGCCCTGGCGCCAGTAACAGTGCTCTGTCTCTCTCGTACCCTTGCGGGGCGCCCCTTCAGAGCGAGAGGAAAGCAGTGATGAAAGCACTGCAGAGCATTTCGCTGCGATGAGTCACCGCGTCACCGCACTGCCAACGGGCGGCAACGTTATCGTTTTTATCGTGGCGGCCCGGAAGTCCTTGGAAGACGACTCCGCGGTGCGAAACGGTGCACAGTGGGCCAGAAGACCGGTGGAGGCGGACAAGACTCTAGACGCGTTTTGAGCTCCAGAGTCGCTAAACAGGCCTCGAAACGAACGTGTGACCCCACCAATGGATTCCTCGTTCGGAGAGCAGTCCATTGGTGGGGTCACACGTTCGGTTCGAGTCCCATTTAGCGACTCTGGAGCTCAAAACGCGTCTTGAGTTTTGTCCTCCTCCACCGGCCTCTGGCCCACTGTGCGGTGCTACTGGCCCTGCACGCCCTCCACACTGGAATTCGCTCTGTCTCTGTCGCTCTCAAAGGGCGTTTCCGCTGGGGTGCGAGGGAGACAGAGCGACGAAAGAACGGTGCGGAAGCAGCCTGCCGTGGCGGCCCGACTTATATTTTGGCTGAATGGCCACCGCGTCGCCCGCGCTTGTTTTGGCTTTGGGGTTCGGTTTGACGACCACAGTTTCAAGGCCGGCGTTCCTGTTCAAGTTCAAGAAAATACACTACAGTGTGAAAATAAAGCTTCCTCACAAAACGGCTGGCTGCTGCTTGCTACCGGATTCTGGTCTGCTGCTGCACGTGCAGCGGGGCCCTGCTTCCTGATTCCGAGGAGTCGTTTCATCGCCTCTGTCTCTCTCACCTGTAGGGGACGCCCCGTGAGTGCGAGAGGGACAGAGCGAAGAGTGGAAGTAGGGCGCGGGCCTTTCTGGAGCCGTGCCGCCGGTGGTGTTTGTGAGAGGGAGAGAGACAGAGAGCACAATTTTACAGTGTGTCATTCATAGCGCGCCCTTCGATGGGCCACCGCGGGGCCGGTGACCCGCGGGCGGATTCCGAGAGTCGTTTTCGTCGCTCTGTCTCTCTCGCACTCATGGGGCGTCCTGTGTAGGTGCGAGAGAGACAGCGATAACGACTCTCGGAATCGGGATGCGGCCGGGCGCACATGTTCCGCCTGCAGGGTCGCCCTTCCCCCTCCCCTCCCCCTCCCCCTCGCCTGGAGCTGGAAACAATAAAGGCACGGCGTGCAGCCCGGAGGTCGTCCTTGGGCAAGGCCACGGCGACGGATAATCCAATTTTTAGTTCCTCTCCCGAAACCAAGTAGGTCGTTATCGTTATTTGTGAAACCGTTACTCGAAAATGTGGCTCACCCATTTTCAGTAGCAGGCTCACAGGGTGGGCGAAAATTGCTGTTTAGGGGGAAATTCTCTGGCCTGCTGATTGAGGAATGGGCGAACAGACTGATTCCGAGAGTCGTTTTCGACGCTCTGTCTCTTTCGCACTCATGGGGCGGCTAAAGGTGCGAGAGAGAGACAGAGCGACGAAAACGACATCGCGTGCCCGGGGTTGTTTTGGGGTTCAGTGTCGGCGTGGGCGGTCAAGGCACTGAACCCGTCGCTCTGTCTCTCTCGCTCTCATGGGGCGTCCTGTGCGGGTGCGAGAGAGACAGAGCGACTATTGTTTTGTGTTCTGGACATCGCTTTCGTCGCTCTGTCGCCCTCATGCCCTTTGCTCCAAGTCGCCGGCCGCTCGCCGCCACAAGAACTATAAGGAGCGGGAACGGCACTGTAAGTTTTACGGTGCACGCCGGGCCGGGCCGGTCGGCCACGTGCAGGCGGCCGGCGCCTCCCGCAAGTGGCCAAGTGCAGGACACCTGCAGACTGATTTCGGGAGCCGTTTTCGTCGCTCTGTCTCTCTCGCACTCATGGGGCGGCTATAGGTGTGAGGGAGACAGCGACGAGAACGACTCTGGGAATCAGTCTGCTGCAGGGCCAAAGACACTGCCGCCGCTCTCTCTCCCTCCTTCCTTCCCGAGCGATTCAGACGAGCGGTCGCTCTGTCTCTCTCACACCCTATGGAAAGGCGCATGAGTGCGACAGAGAAGAGGGGCGAAACGACCCTTCGCTCCGAAGAAAGAGGGCGAAGAACGAGGAAGAGATGGGCTGGCTTGCTCAGGACGTGCACAGACCTGCAGCCTGCTGCGAGCAGTGCGATCGTCGCACAGTGGGCCAGAAGACCGGGGGAGGCGGCCAAAACTCTAGACGCGTTTTGAGCTCCAGAGTCGCTAGATGGGACTCGAACAGTCCATTGGTGGGGTCACGCGTTCGGTTCGAGTCCTATTTAGCTACTCTGGAGGTCAAAGCGCGTATAGAGTTTTGGCCGCCCCCACTGGTGTTCTGGCCCACTGTGCGTCGGTCTATCCATGGTCTATCTCTCTCGCACTCGCAGCGCGCCCCCGGCCGTGCCGCCCTCGCCCTCTCCCTCCCCCTCGCCCGCCGCTGACGCGGGTCCTCCAGCAGACTGATTCCGAGAGTCGTTTCCATCGCCCTGTCTCTCTCGCACTCAAGGGGCGTCTCGTGTGGGTGCGAGAGAGACAGAGCGACGAAAACGCCTCTCGGAATCAGTCTTCGCGGAACAATAAAGGCGTGCGTCGAATGGAAACACATGGACATGCATCGGATCGGCCGTCGTCCTTGGGCAAGGCCAATGCAATTTTCCCGTTCTTCTCTTCAAAACCGAGGAAAGGAAATCCTAAAACGAAGGAGGACCCGCTGCCGAGCACCGTTACTCGAAAATGGGTCGCATGTTTCCAGTGCCCTGTCGGGGTGAGGGAGGAGGGGCGAGGACACTGCTAGATGACACTCGGAAAGTTCAAGTCATAGAGGTTTGACTCTCGCCGCTGGTTGCGCATTCTACTCCTTTCATCTGTGGTGCCTTCCGGGGAGGTGTGCCGGGGCGGCCCTACACTGTCGAAAGATTCTGCTGCGTGGAGGTCTTGGAGGGAATGCCAACTTTTGAAGCTACGTTCTGTGGAGGGAATGCCAACTTTGGTTCTGTCGAGGGAATGCAACTTCGGGCGGTACATTCTGTGGAGGGAATGACAACGATGGCCACGAGCGTGTGATATGTACATTACAGTGTAATTACGGTATCCAGTCGGCCCTACACTGTCGAAAGATTCTGCTGCATACATAGATCGTGGAGGGAATGCCAACTTTTGGAGCTACGTTCTGTGGAGGGAATGCCAACTTTGGTTCTGTGGAGGGAATGCCAACTTCGGGCGGTAACTTACATTCTGTGGAGGGAATGACAAAGATGGTCACGAGCTAGTAATATGTACATTACAGTGTAATTACGGTATCGAGTCCCCCCCGAGGGGGTTGTGAGCCCCTTGCGTATGTACTGTACCTGCAGGCAGTTCCGGCGCACAGTGGGCCACAAGACCAGTGGAGGCGGACAAAACTCAGCACGCGTTTTGAGCTCCAGAGTCGCTAAATGGGACTCGAACCGAACGTGTGACCCCACCAACGGATTCCTCGTTCGGAGATCAGTCCATTGGTGGGGTCACACGACAGGTTCGAGTCCTGTTCAGCGGCTCTGGAGCTCAAAACGCGTCCAGAATTTTGGCCGCCTGCGCCGGTCTTCTGGCCCACTGTGCAGCGCTCAGCACTGGACTGCCGACCGATTCCGAGAACTATTGGTCTCTGTCGCACTCGCGCGCGGGTGTGCAGGTGCGAGAATGACAGATCGACGAAAAGTATGTGGTTGCTTTCGATCAGGGCATGATAAAAATTTCGATAAAGCTTTGCTGCCACCTGACCCTCCCGGCCCCCAGACAGATTTTCGTGGATTTTCGCGGCAACACACGCCGTTGCCGCCCGCGCACAGTGGGCCAGAAGACCGGTGGAGGCGGCCAAAACTCTAGGCGCGTTTTGAGCTCCAGAGTCGCTAAATGGGACTCGAACCGAACGTGTGACCCCACCAATGGATTGCTCTTCGAACGAGGAATCCATTGATGGGGTCTCACGCTCGGTTCGAGCCCTGTTTAGCGACCCTGGAGCTCAAAACGCGTCTAGAGTTTTGGCCGCCTCCACCGGTCTTCTGGCCCACTGTGCCGCGCCCGTGCCCCGCCAACCCCCGCCCCCTGCCCCGCCCAGCAACAGTGGCGGGGCTGGCTGGCTGGCCGACTGGGCGGTGGCGGTGGGCTGGCGGCAGTGGCGGCGGCGGCTGTGGCTGTGCGGCAAGTGTGGTGGTAGTAGCAGCAGCAGCAGCGGCGGCGGCGGCAGTGTGCAGTGAGGCTTTCGCGAGGAAGGGTGTTGTGTCGTGTGGTCGGAGCGCTCCACATTTCGCCGGTGTTTTTGTTGTGATTCTGCGCAGTCCTGTGTTGATCTTGATCTTGGTCGTCGGCAGCAGAAGTTTGACTCCATGGCAATGAAGAGAAGTGAGTCCTACGATTTTGTGTTTAAATAGGAAGGGTATTGTTTTGTCGCCGCTTTGGCTTGTCGGTGGCGAAGTGACGAAAACGAACGGAGCCGCCGCGCCGGTTTTCCTGGCAGATTTCCTTAGACTTGGGTGTCAACTAGCACCGTGTTGAACTGTAACAGGGTTTTGTATTGTTTTTTTCTGGGAAATGAAAATGGTGTGCTGTCGAAACTTGTAAGAACTGTTTGTTTTCCGGGGGCGCGGGAACCTGTCGCGGCCGAGGCCGCGGACGTCAACCGCCTGTTTTTAACCAAAGATTTTCGCAACCAGTTGCCGCGGCTCGGTTTTCTAGGACTCAACCGAGTCTCTGATTGTCTCTGATCGACAAGTTGTTGAGGGTCGTGCCATAGAAAATAGAATAGAATTCTCTTTGCTCGTACGTCGGGCTTTAGCCTCGGCCGTCAAGGGTGAGGGTGAGGAGGTTGGGCAGGAGGGGGTGGGGGTAAGGGGGCGGGCGGAGTAGGGCGGAGGCGGTCAAAATCTCGGACGCGTTTTGAGCTCCAGAGTCGCTAAATGACACTCGAACCGAACGTGTGACCCCACCGATGAATTGCTCCCCGCACGACGAATCCATTGGTGGGGTTACACGCTCGGTTCGAGTCCTGTTTAGCGATTCTGGAGCTCAAAACGCGTCCAGAGTTTTGGCCGCGCACGCCGGTCTGCTGGTCCACTGTGGGGCGAACTGGGATATCGTCATCTGTCTGTCACTGTACAGTATTTCCAACGTGTTTGTTTGTCGTGTCGCAGGTTTCGACTCGATGGAGTCCGGTGCGGGGTCTTCGTCCGGTTCTGGCGGCTCTGGTTCGGGCCTGGTCGTCGGCATCGACTTGGGGACCACCTACTCCGTGGTCGGCGTCTGCAGGAAAGGGCGCGTCGAAATCTTCTGCAACGACAGTGGCAGCCGCATCACACCCAGCGTGGTCGGCTTCATGGGCGGGCAGATGTTTGTCGGGGACGCGGCCAAAGACCTGCCAGCCGTCAACCAAGTGTACGGTACGTCAACTGATCTGTGGCATTCCCTCCCCCGCCCCCTTTATCATGCCTCCCTTTCCTTACCCACCTCCTGCACAGCGGGTCAGAAGACTGATGGAGGCGGCCAAAACTCTAGACGCGTTTTGAGCTTCAGAGTCGCCAAATGGGACTCGAACCGGACGCGTGACCCCACCAATGGATTTCTCGTTCGCAGAGCAATCCATTGGCGGAGTCACACGTTTGGTTTGGGTCCCATTCACACGTCCGGTTCGAGTCCCGTTTAGCGACTCTGAAGCTCAAAACGCGTCTGGAATTTTGGCCGCCTCCTCTGTTCCTCTGGCCCACTGCGCCCTGTCCCTCCCTATGCCCCCTTCCCTCCCCCTTCTCCATTTCCAGCCATTTCAACTGCATTAAACTCCCTGTCAAGTCATGGACACTTCACTTAGACTGGACACTTGCGTTACTGTCAAGGCCCTAAAGAGTTAAATAATTTTTGACATTAGTATGATACAAGTTTCCCGCCTCCAGCTGAAGTTTTGCAGCTTTTTTATGGAAGTTGTTTTGAAACAGTTTTCTCGCTCGGCGTTTCACCTCTTGTGTTCCTGTAATTGATTTGATGTTATTTGTGCTGCAGATGCCAAACGGCTGATTGGACGCCCATGGATTGACGTTTGTGATTTTAGAAAGAGGCATTGGCCATTTACCTTGGTTGAAAAGAATGGAGAGGCCAAAATCAGAACATTTGTCAACGGCTCAAAGAAGGACTTCTGCCCTGTAGAGGTTGGTACAGATGGAAATTACGTAGTTTGCAACTCACCAAGCAGCTTACTGATGTGTCAAATCTGAAATGAAGGTGTCTGAAGTCATGCATATTGTTCCTAAGAAAAGTTCCTCGCTGTGTAAAATACATAAAGTGAAGAGTGAGCATGCTTTCTCAGCACATTCAAAGGATGGCATATTCTTAATTTAAATTAATGTACATTCAGTACCCCATCCCTTTTAGTGTTAGCTCCTTCAACTTGGGGCAATCTTTTCAACAATTTCCCTAATTTTTTCCAGATATCTGCCATGGTTTTGCGTGGGTTAAAAGAAATAGCTGAAGGAGTCCTGCAGGAACGTGTCACCAGGGCTGTAGTGACAGTCCCAGCATATTTCAACGAACGCCAAAGACAGGCGACAAAGCTTGCAGGTAAGTTAATTTCCATTTCTAAATGAGGTCCATGTTCACCCAGGATAAACTTTCTCCAAGCTAACTTTACTGTAGATTTGTAGCCTTGCATTGCTAGCTTGTTTTCTTATATTAAGTAAAATAAAGTTTTAGAGCTACAGGCTCAAGGCTTGTGTTAGGGAATGTTTTATTTCGTTTTTATAGCTTGGACATCGAACACAATGAATATATGAATGAGACAGTTTGATAAATTTTTGTTTGTTTTTCAGGTACAGTTGCAGGGCTTGAAATCATTGCCATGATAAATGAGCCCACTGCAGCTGCTATAGCCTACGCTCTGGATAAAAAGAAAAGTGGCCAAAGTGAAAGTGACAAGAAAACAGTTTTTATCTACGATTTAGGAGGTGGCACTTTTGATGTGAGTGTTTTGACGGCTGCTGGGTCGGAGTATACAGTGTTGGCATCTGATGGCGACACCAACTTAGGGGGCCAGGACTTTGATGAGAGGTTGCTCCACCATTTTATAGAGGTGAGTGTGGTTCAGTCTTGACTCATCAGTGAATTTTCTTTTTAAAATATTCATGGATTTATTCTCTCTCATAGGAAGTGCGCACAAAGCACGGCGTCAACTTAGACCCTACTTCAGTACAGGAACTGAGGAAGGTGTGTGAGCTGGTAAAGAGAAAGTTGTCCACGTTAGCAGAGGTGCCCATATCCCATTTCTTCAGTCGGCACAACTTAGCATTCAAGAGCTCAATAACACGAGCCCGTTTTGAGAGTCTGATAATAGACTTGCTAAAGAAGACTCTTATAACATCATCTAAAGTGATCACAGAAAGCAAGGTCAGTTTCTAATTCTTCTAATTTTAAGTGCTTAGGTTTAAAATTGTTTGTTGTTAGATTATCAGTGCTGGGGCAATTGAATTGTTTGGAACATCCCAAGACAACACATACATGTCTTACCTTCATAGATTTTAGCTTGACTTCTTTATGAGTCTGTAGCTTACCTGATACCAGACAATTTTAGACTTACAGATTCATTGTCGGGATGAGGAGTCCAATTGAACCATGTTTTTATTCATAATGCTTGTATCTCTTGACCATTCAGCTCGTCTTGGGCCTTACTTTTAATCTGATCTTACATTTCAACACTGGCTCTAAATGAATCTTTGCAGACTGATTTTTAATGGTCTTGTGATTCATATTGTTGGCTCAAAATTATTAGCAGGTTTAGTTGCCTCACAATTCTCTAAATACGAATGCCTTTGTGCTGGATAGCTTCTGTGACAAAAAGTAAACAAACAAACAAAATTTGGTTACATTTTCTTCTTTAATCTACTCATCTTAGCATTGCTTGCGTTTGGAAATTGGTTGAAATTCAACATCCGAAGCATAAGGGAGCATTTGACCATGATTTGACTTTAACATTAGCATTCAATTTCAAACGAGATAGGGAAGCCCATAGTTACTTGCACCCCCCTGCTATGTTGCCCATTGTCTGAAGGCCATAACTACTTATGCAGCCCTCTGCTGTTTTGCGTGTAGTTTGAAGCCTATAGTTACTACTTGCAGTTCCTGCTGTGTCACCTGTAGTTTCCACTGGACTGCCGTGCTCATGCCTGTCTCTCCCAACTTGTGTGCAGCTGCAGCCCGGCGACATCGACGAGGTGGTGCTGGTGGGGGGCTCCACCCGCATCCCCAAGGTGACCTCCTTGCTGAGGGAGCTGTTCGTGGACAAGGAGCCACGGCGCTCCATCAACCCGGACGAGGCCGTGGCGTTCGGCGCGGCCGTGCACGCCGCCACCCTGAGCGGGGACAAGTACTTCTCCAACCTGGTGAAGCTGCGCGACGTCACGCCACTGTCACTTGGCATCGACACGGTCGGGGGGCTGTTCTCCCCCGTCATTCCACGAAATACACCCGTGCCGTGCGAGCGGACCAGCCAGTTCAGCAACGCGCACGACTACCAGACGGCTGTCAACTTCAAAGTAAGTTGGCTCGCATGGACCTGGCAGCGGAGAGACCAGAATAGTTAAAATAGTGCCAATATGATCTTAAAATAAGGGTTTTTAGTCTGAATTTGGTTTATTTTCTTGTTCAATTGACATCCCTTTTCTTTCTTGTTTGACTTTATTTTGACTATAGTGTATTATAATTTATTTTGTTCTCCCTGTGCTTGGAGGATAATGGAAGATCTTTGTCTGAATGGAGAAACTTGTTGTGTTTGAGTGACCCTGCCCAAGGCTTCCTTAGTGGAGCGATTTCAGGGATACAATGTAGCTATCATCATCGTTATCTTGGAAACTTTTACCATCCCGGGATCACAGTGCTCCAGCTCCTGTAGAGTTTTTCTCGGGAAGTTTGTTTCTACAGTGCATACTTCCAATCCAGGAAGTAATAAATGTCATGCGTCTGAGCAATAAATTACTCAAAGTAGCACTATTTGTTCCACTATCCTGTAGATTTTTGAAGTGCTCAAACTTTTTTCTAAGTTGTGAGATAATTTCCTTCCTTCTAAGTATTGTAAAAAGGTGTCTAAAGGAGTCAGGGTTTGTTGGTCAATTTCCACTATCATTTGTTTGGGTGTCTACACTGCACCTTCCAAATGTGAAGCTGGGCTGTCACTTGGGCTGTTTCACTTTTTCTTGAAAACTTTCTCTTTGATACAAAATTCCCACATTCGAATCTACAGTCAAGTCTTAAGGTCTTTACAATATCATCAAAGTTTCGGACATTTGGAGGCTTCACACAGCAAATTAAATGTGGCTCCTCCTTGCTATTTTTGGAAATGATTTTGATTTTACAACATGCTGTAGATATGAAGTGTGGGGTCCACATCAAAATTTCATAGTTTACCACCTCTTTTTTATAAAGATTTCTGGCTGAAGCTGTCTCTTTGAAAAGACGTTAGGATTCATCAAGCACTGCTTCTCTGAGTTTTCAAAATAGTTGCGGAACGTAATTTTTTTTTTGGGGGGGGATAATTTTGATAGTTTCTAAGTTTGTACTTTGTCTCTTGGGCTTTTTACTGGCTTATCAGCTAGCTTAAAATAGCTAGGGAGAATTAATTTATCTCGCACTTTGCCAATGATGAAGCCATAGTTGTGTGCTGTCATTTCAAGAATTTGCTTTCTGTGTTCCAGGTGTTCCAGGGAGAACGTCCTCTTAGCAAAGACAATTATTATCTGAAGAAAGAATTCTCTGTCAGCGTACCTCCAAAGCCAAGAAATGAGAATAAGCTTGATTGCACTTTCAATCTAGACGCAAATGGTCTGTTGACTGTTTGGGCAATTGACAAAGAGACTGGGAACCGAGGCCAGGTCACAATTAATCCGAAGGATGCAAAAGTTAGTGAGAAAGAGCTTGAAACTATGCTCAAAAACGCTCAAAAATTAAGAGATATGGATCAGAAAGCGAAACAAAAATTGGAGAATGAGTACAAAAGGCAGTGTTTGTAAAGTTGCTGTCCTTTGTCCTGTCTATTTTATTTTAAGGTTTACGCGAAGCCTTTGGAACTCAAAGGCCTTCGTGTGAAATACTGTCATAATAATTTGTTTCTTTCATAGCCATGACAACATGGTTGGTAATTGTATACTTCTTCAAGTGACAGTATTGTGAGATTCACTTCAATTTGTTTCTTTATAGTATAACCATGGTCTCTGTCAGTAACTGAAGAATTTTCATCCTTTTGTTGTCAAATCTTTTATAACTTGATGTATTTGTAAATATTATTGTGAGTGTTTTACTTAGAGTAGGTGATGCCCACATTGTTATTAAACATGTCATTTTATGACCGAAAACCCCCTGCTTTGTAACTTCCTGTTTTGTCAATCAATAGTGTTGAGAGATTGAGACACCTTCATTATCATGTTCAGGACAAATGGTTGAGTGAGCCCCCTGAATTTGCAATCTTCAATATCAACTGAAGTTATAAGTCTTAAAACTTTTTGACTCAAAGCAGCCTTGCCCACCACATGACAAGACAGGTTTAGGGAATTTCAAGTTGCAGTGTTGAAATTGAATCTTTCAGATAACATTGGGTAGGTTGTTTCTTCCTTGTCTGTCAACAACAATTATCATCGAAGTTTTTCTTAATTGAAATCAATTTCTTTGGTTCTTTCATCCAGTTTCCTCTGTGTTATAAACTGCGAAACAGCATTTCTCATTGGATGTGGTGCAGTAAAGTTGCCACAGGATGTAAAATAAACCAATTGAAAGTTACTTCGATTCACATTTAATGGAATGAAAATACATTAGATATCTTACGTCATGGATTGAAAATAAAAATACAACACAGTAGATTAAATTCAGTTACATTGTAACTAGATCATGACCAAAACTTAATACTATTCTCCTTACATCACGCAAGTTAAACATCCAACAGAGAATTAAAATTACAGCATTCTTGTTCAGAAATTGGAACTTGCTAGAATTTACCGAGACTTTCAAGTTAACCAGGAGCTCAAAAACAGATACTTCAGCGCTCCGAGGAGGAGCTGTCAATGAGTATCACCCAAGTAGAAAAAAAATAATCTTGGCAGAAATAGCCACAAATCCACCATACTCAGTACTCTAAAATTTCCCAAAAAAGAAATTACAACAAAAAAAAAAAAGAAACAAAAAAGAAAAAGATGAGTTAAAGAAACTCAACACTGGTACAAATCGTCCAGCGGCCGCATTGAGTTTATGAGGGCTGTGTCGCAGAGCCCGGTGACCTCGATGAGCCTGTCCAGGGCCCGGACATCCCCGACCGCGTTGTGCAGGGGGAAGTACTCGTCCGGGACGAACTCCTGCAGCAGGCGGGCCAGCCCGTGGTTGCCCAGGTAGGGGTACATCTTGCGGTACAGCGGCAGCGTGTCCGAGAAGCCGATGCACACCTCGTGCAGCTCGTCCCAGAGCCCGGCCGAGCACACCAGGCGCAGCAGGTGGAAGGCGTCGAAGTTGAAAGCGTTGTGCGCCACCAGCACCACGTTGCCGCCCATCGAGCGCAGGAACCTGATGAACTGGTCCACCGCGTCGTGCACCGTCAGCGTGTTCTTGCGCACGCCGTGCACGAACAGGTTCATGCCCGCCCTGGAGAAGCCGGTGATCTGGGCCGCCTGTGGAGCCAAACATAAAAAAAAATCACTGACAACACCCTCAGAACTTTGCGAAGAAAGTCTTCGCATGACAAACTAGTGGTTTGGAAGCTTGCGAAGAGTTTGGCTTGATTGTATTAGGAACTGGTGCTTCGTTACTTTGAGAACGACAAGTTGAAAGCAAGTTGCAAACTAGTGATTTGCAATACGGTTGTGTTCTTTGCACTATGAACAGGTCAGATTCTTCGAAAGCTTACAAACACAAAGGTTTCACGAGTGGACGGAAGGGACACAAAATCTACATTTGTGAAACGGACAGTGCGCTCTTTGAAATTTGGTCTTGGAGACACCACTTCAGGAATGTAGAGAGAGGGCATTAAGAAAAAAATACAATATGAAAAAAGAACAGCCTGAAACAGAGGCGGATCCAGAGGCGACCTAGGGGGCGGGAAAAGGGGGGGGGTGAGGGGGAAGGACCAAGTAACACTCTTTGCCTCCTTGCTGGGAGCAAAGTATGGGGAAGGTTGGGGAAGAAAAGCACAGAAAAAGAATAATACAATCACCTTGGAGACTATACTGCTGCACCAGACATCAACACCCTTTTCACAGGAATTTCACTCGGATTTTCATGTCGAGTTGAAATAACCGGTCAAGGGACGGCTCAAAGGCAAGATATCATCTCAAGAAGGGTTGTACTTTTCTCACCCCTTTCAGCAGGCTGATTCCGAGAGTCGTTTTCGTCGCTCTGTCTCTCTCGCACTCATGGGACGTCCCAGGTGCGAGAGGGACAGAGCGACGAAAACGACTCTCGAAATCAGTCTGCAGAGTGGGAGTACTGCACTGTGAGCTTACCTGCGGGGAGATGGGTTTCCATGGCAAAATGTAGGCGTTGAAGATGGAGCGGCCGCACTTGGCAGCAACCTGCATCACGTGGGCGCCGATGTCCAGCCCCGTCGTCTCCAGGTCCACGATCACCACGGTGGGCGAGTCCTCGGAGTCACAGTAGTACCCCATGGCGACACTGAAACAAAAAGTCAGAGAGCAAAACTGTTACTTCTCAAAAGTGACAGAATCCGTCTGCAGCCGAGCGATTCAGAAGAGTCGTTTCATCGGTCTGTCTCTGTCGCACTCGCGCGCTCTGTCTCTCTCGCACTCATGGGGTGTCCACGTGTAAGTGCGAGAGCGACAGAGTGACGGACGGACACGACTCTCGGAATCAGTCCGAAGGACTCAACGGGCGGGCTCTCGAGACATTCCCTCTCTCCCCTACCAGCGGGTTGGAGGAGGACAGACAGTGATATGAATCTGCACGCGTTGTGTTTGCCACACCGCGCCTACACCAACAAACAGGCGCGAGTGTGGCGGTCGGGCTCTCGTCGGCCGTTCCCGGAAAAATGCCCCCACCCCCTTTCCCCCCGGCGGCACAACCTAAAGAAAGCACGATTACGATGGGTCGTTTCGTCGGTCTGTCTCTGTCGCACTCGTGTGGCATTTCCCTCGGAGAGCGAGAGAGACAGCGCAAAGAAACGACCCTCCAGAACTAGGCGACTGTCGACGGCAAAACACAGGGCGACACCACAACACAGTGGGCCAGAAGACCGGTGAGGCGGCCAATACTCTAGACGCGTTTTGAGCTCCAGAATCGCTAAATGGGACTCGAACCGAACGTGTGACCCCACCAATGGATTGCTCTCCGAACGAGGAATCCATTGGTAGGGTCACACGTTCGGTTCGAGTCCTGTTTAGCGACTCTGGAGCTCAAAACGCGTCTAGAGTTTTGGCCGCCTCACCGGTCTTCTGGCCCACTGTGCACAAGAGGCTGCACGGATCGCCCGTGCCACCACTTAGTCGTGAGAACCTCAACCTCAACGCCTAGACGTTAGGCAGCCCATCTAGCATCTTCGCATCCCCGCGACTCCAATTGCACTTGTAGCGGCAATCCCATTTCGTGACCTGTCAGGCTGGCGGAACCCTCTTCAGTTTGATCTCTTTTCTCCCTGACTGGACCGCGACCTGCGACACGCGACTCCGCGCGGCGCCAGCCCGGCATCTATACATCCATCGGTTCAATCAATCCTCTCCCTTTCGCCAACCACAACGCGACACGTTCACCCTTAGCCCCGCCTTCGGCTGTAGAATTTTGGCCGCCTCCAACGCACAGTGGGCCAGAAACAGGCGGAGGCGGCCAAAATTTTAGACGCGTTTTGAGCTCCAGAGTCGCTAAATGGGACTCGAACCGACCGTGTGACCCCACCAATGGATTGCTCTTAGGACGAGGAATCCATTGGTGGGGTCACACGTTCGGTTCGAGTCCTGTTTAGTGACTCGGGAGCTCAAAACGCGTCTAGAATTTTGGCCGCCTCCACCGGTTTCTGGCCCACTGTGCAACGGTCGTCTGGCCCACTGTCGCCGTCGCCACGGGGAGATGGAGGAAAGGAGAGGGGGGGGGGAGGAAAGAGGAAAGGCAGCAGAGAAAAGAACGACGCGGGTCCTTCCCTTCCTGCAAACTGATTCCGAGAGTCGCTTCCGTCTCTCTCGCACCTACACGGCACGCCCCGTGAGTGCGAGAGAGACAGAGCAACGAAAACGATTCTCGGAATCAGTCCACTGGTAGTAAAAATTGAACGGGCGGCGCGACAAAAGCCATATTCCAACCGCCGGCGACACTCTGGCAACGAGGCCGACCCGAAACCAAATCACTGCTTCCTCAGCGAAGGCGGGATCTCTTTCTCTCTCCCTCGCACTCGCAGGCCGCCCTGGGACGGTGCGAGAGAGACAGGCCGAGATGACGTCACCGGGGCGTTTATGGTTTACACCCGCGCCACCACTGTAAGCGCCTCGAAACGCGTTCCAAAATCGCTTGGTGTGCGGGCTCCACAGCGCGATGTGGGGATTGGGTGACTGGTGACCTCAACTACCAGAAAAACACATGACCTGCAACCCAAGACCGAGTCGGAACCCAACTCGAACCCGAGTGTCGTAGTGTCGTGCACCCTCCTGATGAGCGAGGGCAGGGCGGGGTGGGGCGGGGTGGGGCGGGGTGGGGCGGGGTGAGGCGGGGTGAGGCGGGGTGAGGCGGGGTGAGGCGGGGCGGGGCGAGGCGGGGCGAGGCGGGGCGAGGCGCGGCGCGCACGGGGCCGGCCAAACAAGGCCGATAAGAAAACAGCGGCAACTCGGATTGCAAGTCGAGCTTCTCGTCCGCCGTCAGCAAGCGCGGATTGGGGGGGGGGGGGCTAAAGGACAATTGCCCCCCCCCCAGACCCCTAGATAGCCACCTGAAAGGTAGGCAAAAAGCACCAATTTGCCCCTGTCAGTAGGCAAAAAGCACCAATTTGCCCCTGTAAGTAGGCAAAAAGTGCTACTTTGCCCCCCCCCCCTTGGGCCGACTCTGGATCCGCCACTGGTCGTCAGACACAGCGGCGCTAAGCGTGTACTGCGGCGTGCCCTAGAGGGAGGGCAAGAAAAGAAGGGGGGGGGGGACGGCGCGGCATCCCCCTTCCGCTCTAGACAGGCGCCGGAGGGGTGGGCAAATTTCGAAACCTTCCGATTGCACGAGGGCAAACAGCGTGGATTCACCCTTCCCCTCTCAAAATTTCTGCGCTTGCCGCGTATCACTAAGCATACGAGTCGTGACTCACGTCTCCACAGGCGCGGGAACTCAGAGCGACGTTCGGCTCGAAGACGTTCGGTTCGAGGCCTGATTAGTGACTGGAGCTCAAAACGCGTCTTGAGTTTAGGCCGCCTCCACCGGTCTTCTGGCCCACTGTGACCCCCCCCCCCCCCCCCCCCCAATCCCCCCGGCCCCCCATCCTACAGTTCCGAGGCTGCGAGAGCTTCGCACCCGGTTGGTCATTCCCTCCGCGCCAGCTCCACTCATAACACGTCGGTCCAACAATCCAAGGTCGACGCTGTTGACTCCAAAAACAACAACGCTCGCCGCCGGCCCCTCGAGGAAAAGGGGCGTGAAGAGGGCGAAGCGGAAGATGAGATGGAAAAGGGGTGAGGGTCACCAAGACGCAACGCGGAGTCGGTGCGCTATTCGGCCTGGAGCCGACGGATGTAAACAAAGAGCCTCGTGTCGGCCGCCCAGCTCCGGGCCGGGGCACCCACAACGCCAGTCCTTGCCTGGGCAGCATCAAATGTCACCCTAATCCACAGCGAGCTTGGAGAATCTCGCAACAAAAATCAAGAGCCCCGTCCACAGCTGGCAGCCCTACGGCCCCGACCCACAGTGGGCCAGAGACCGGCGCTGGCGGCCGAAACTCTAGACGCGTTTTGAGCTCCCGAGTCGCTGAATAGGACTCGAACCGAACGTGTGATCCCACCAATGGATTCCTCGTTCGGAGAGCAATCCATTGGTGGGGTCACACGTTCGGTTCGAGTGCCAGTTAGCGACTTTGGAGCTCAAAACGCGTTCGGGATTTCGGCCGCCTGCACCGGTCTTCTGGCCCACTGCGCGACATGACATAACAACAACACGGGCACGGGAGAGTGCACGCCGCGGTACTCACCACTCACAGATTCTTCTGAGTACAGGGAAGCCGCCCGCGTCCACTGGAAGGATTCCGTCGTCTCACTCGTACTCGCACACGAACTTCATCCAGCACTCGCTTCCACGCGTAAACGGTCCAAACTGACGGAACGGACGACCTGCGTGCAACTGCTCTCGCCCTCGCCTCGCTCTCGCTCGTCGCTCGGCTCTCCTTCGGCGCCTTCGGCTCACCGCAGTGCTTCGGCCGACTTCGGTCTCCCTGCCGCTGACGCTGCTCGGCCTCGGGCCACTGACCTACTGCGACTGCGCATGCGCGCGAGGCAGCAACCAGTGGTGCCAGCCTCCGGCATTCCCCGCCGCGGGGAACGGAAATTCGAGCGCAAAAAGATGAAAGAACGCTTTTGGCGAGAGGAGAAGCCGCACTGGGACTGCTAAAGAGAGTCTAGTGCGGTACCACTCGTGTTCTTTGAGTTGACGAAATGGGTTTAGTGGCCTTTGAATAGCGTAAATGGCATCACTGGCAAATGGTCTCCTCCTTATCTGCCTTGGGCCGTACTGCGAATAGCGTTGCGAAGACGCAGAAGGGAGTCCAAACTAATGGCGCTCTTATTCAAATATTCAAGAAATAAGAGATGTTCCCAGTGGAAACGAAAACATTATTTGAATCTGAAGTTGGGAGACATCTATTCCTTTGTTTTAGGACAAGTACCCATATCCGACTGTGGAGAGGGACTGCTTTCTTGAAAAGATAGGAATAAGAGCTGAGATGAAGCTACCGATTTGGGTATGGTTCTCGGAGAGCTAAGTGTTACGCAGAGCAACATGAAAATAGAATCTGGTCCATAGGAAAATTTCCTCTACAGCGTTTCTAAAGCTTTATGTGTCAATTCTGTTAATGTACAAAGTTTCACCAAGTTCTGAGCGGCAACTGTACACTTATGAACTGAAGCTACCTGTCTTTGATTAGCCACCCCGTTAACAAATATTTTGACCATTGTATTACACCTGGGGCAACACAAGAACACAGGGAAAAATAACCCAGCAGTTCCATAACAAAATAAGAAAGGACACTGAAAAGCCAACCAATGAAGTGCAACTATTTACAATAATAATATGAATCCGCAGCAGAATTTAAGTACTGCGATCCAAGTCCTACATTTGTATGAACAAAATGGGAACAGAGGTCCTACTTCGTTATGATTGTTGGCTGAATATTCAAGTTCTTGTGTAGAAAATTCTAAGCATTTAGAGAGAGTCCTTTGTGTTAATGTATTTATTTACAAAACAAAAACCAGAAATATGCTGATAGCAAGAATGTTCCCATGGAACTCTAAGCAGCATTGAAAAAGAAAACAAGTAACAGTAAAAAAAATATGCAAGCTCCAGACTTTTCATGAAGAATTACAAAAATGATGACAAGGTTGGATGTTTGTACAATTTCTGAGAATAAAATGATTGCCAACTAGAAACATCAAGCAACAATTCCAACTGTGGAAAAAAAATGCAAGCTCCAGACTTTTCATGAAGAATTGTAAAAATGATGACAAAGGTTGTTCTGGATGTTTGTACAATTTCTGAGAATAAAATGATTGTCAACTAGAAACATCAAGCAACAATTCCAACTGTGGAATTACTCAAACAAATACTACAGATAATAATATGAAGATCAAAGTAAAATCAATCAACCAATACCAATGTCCATTATCACTGAAAGGTGCTCTTCTAGGCTCCAAAATCTTTGTGTTAAAAAATTTCCTTCCTACAGCTTGTAGCGATTGCGCCGAGCGATTTTCCCGAATCTTCTCATCCTCAGTTTGGTTTACTTGCGCCTTCCGCAGCATGTCTTGAAGTTCCTTGTCGCTTATCCTGGCTTCTGGATGAAGAGTTGCAGTGATCTCCTCATTGGTTGACGTCCCTGGCAGTGACAGTGAGCACACTGCCAGCATCCAGAGAAAAGGTTGCTGTCATTTCAACTTCTCCTTTGGGCTTCGAGGGGATGCTCAGGGTTAATTCACCCAGAACATGATTATCCTCCCACCTTGCACGTTCTCCTTGGCAAACCTTTTAACAGAAACATAGAAGACAAATTTTACTCATTAAATCATTATGTTTTTAAACATTGACATTTGCTTACGTACTCCAGCAGCAGCATCCATGTGAAAATAAGGCAAGAAAAACTCAAGTAAAAATCATAATGGGCGATATGCTATGAATTTAGACACCAATCTGACGACAAATCTCCAAACAGTCCCAAGAAATTATTTGATAATAGAAAGAGTATTTCTTCCCAGCAAAAACACAAAAAAAAAACTGTGCATTCAGTGCTTTTGAATACTTACGACACGATACAAAAACACTGGAATGTTCATTTATCAAAGCGTCTGTAGTTAAAATTTACCTTATATTCTGCTTCTTCTTGATTATCATGGGCAGTGGTGAAGACTCTTGTGATGCTGAAGGGTACAGGGGGTGTTGCGTCTGATCAGCACTGACATCAGTCCATCGGATGTAGCAATGCCCAGGGACAGAGAGGTCACGTCCTGAATGACGACCTGCACAAAATGGGGGAAAGTTGATATGGATTTACTATAATTTTAAATGTTTAGAACCAACTTGCCCCACATGATTCTTTTAATTTCTGCTGAATCCAAATTTCCACAATAAACCAGATCCCGTCCAGTGAAAAATAGGCTCTAAGAAATGAGCGATATCAACTCTTGCTAAAAGGAAGGTGTTAAAAATAACTCAGCCTAACAAATCATTTAAAGGTAGCTTGGTATAGCAAAAATTAAAATAGAAAACATTTCACTAACATTAAATTTAAACTTTCCTGCTCACAAAGAAATCAAAAAATAAAAACAATGAGCGAGTGTGTAACACCTGGGTTGTTCAGAATGGAAACTTGAAAGAAACTGTTTGCGTGTAAAGCTAACAGTGCGTATCAGTTGTCCTTTCAAAAAATTTGAACAAACCTCTTTGGCTCCAGCTTGCCCAGTGAGGGCTGCAGCACGAATAGCAGCACCTTGGGCCACTGCCTCATCGGGATTGACAGACTTATTGAGGTCCTTGCCATCGAAGAAGTCTTGCAAGAGGCTGCGCACCTTGGGGATCCTGGTGGAGCCGCCAACTAGGACCACATCGTCAATCTCATTTTTGCTCACCTGTAAACACATCAGCAATAATATTAGAAAATAGACCAATCTTCAGAAATGACAATTTTGAGGATGGTTCCAGTTCCACATAGCAGAGGCTTGCCAACTCTTAAAGTTATAAACACTCAACTATCAAATGCAGCCCAGTACTGTGGTGCTGGAATTCTAAATACAAGGGATCGCACAGGAGATGGTTATTCCTACATTACCAACACTATAGAAGGCTGTGTATGCTTTGTAGCACTACCCTCCATGAAATTCAAAGTAGAGTTCAAACTGCACAAGTTTGAGCAAGGATATTCACAAAATTTAACAAAAAGGAGGCAGATATTGAAATCACCGTAGCTATCAAGCTTTAAAACCTACAGAGTACCTATGAGTGCAGGAGATGTTAGGACGAGCGCCTGCAGACTGAAGGGTAGGCAACCCATCCGACTCGCGTGCGAAACGGTACTGCCTATACTCTCGGCGATTGCGATTAACGGCTGGACCACAAGTGATCGCCCTGCCCCGGCGTATAAGGGTTCACACCTCTGTTGGTGGACAAAGTTCGACAATCTTCCCCTTACCACAGTGGACCAGAAAACCGGTCATGGACCGGTGGAGACGGTCAAAATAACGTACGCGTTTTGAGCTCCAGAGTCGCTCTGTGGGACTCGAACAAAGCGTGTGACCCCACTAATGTATTCCTCGTTCGGAGAGGAATCCATCGGTGGGGGTCACAGGTTCGGTTCGTGTCCCGTTTAGCAACTCTGAAGCTCAAAAGCCACTCTTTGACCCCTATAGGTCTGAAAAACGCTATTTTGCCCTTCCCTAAAGCCCGTTCTGGATCCGCCACTGCCATGTTCGGAATCTGAGGCGCTCACCTTGACGTCGCTGAGCAATTGGGCCAGGATGTTGATGGCCTTGACGAACAGCGGGGTGCACAATTCCTCAAAGAGGGCACGGGTGATGGCTTTCTTGTAACCCTTCCCGTGGCGAGCCAGGAACACGTTGATGGTGGACTGGGGGGCGTTGGAGAGCTTCCGCTTCGCCAACTCGCACGCCGCCCGCAGATCGTGGATGGTATCGGGTTCCTCCTCGCGGTTGATATTCACATGCAGCGTCTGATGGATGTCCTGGAAAAGCCATGACACGCTACAGAAACCTCGGCCAGTGTCATCAGAAGGAAGAGCAGGCAAAAATTCCCACGTCCTCGACGCACAGTGGGTCAGAAGACCAGTGGAGGCGGCCAAAACGAAGCGGTGACCCCACCAATGGATTCCTCGTTCGGAGAGCAATCCATTGGTGGGGTCACACGTTCGGTTCGAGTCCCGTTTAGCGACTCTGGAGCTCGAAACGCGTATAGAATTTCGGCCGCCTGCGCGCCGGTCCAGCTCATGATCCTCGGACGAAAGCGAAGCCTTACCTTTAGGACATATTTCAGCAAGAGCGCGTCGAAGTCCTGTCCACCCAGATGAGTATCTCCACCGTGGGCTCTGATGTTAAAATTGTCGCCTTGGATGTCCAACAGGCTCACGTCAAATGTTCCGCCGCCGAAGTCAAAAATGAGGGCGGTTCCGTTCTTCCCCTTTCCGAAGCCGAAGGCCATGGCGGCCGCGGTCGGCTCGTTCAAGATTTCCAGCACTTCCAGCTTCGCAATTTTGGCTGCAACACGAAACGAGTCAATTTTGACTCTGACAACGCAGTGGGCGAGGGGACCGGTTGAGGTAGCCAAAATTCTAGACGCGTTTTGAGCTCTGAAGTCGCTATATGGGGCTCATACCGAACGTGTGACCCTACCAAAGGATTGCTCTCCGAACGAGGAATCCGTTGGGTTTGGGTCCACCCCCCGGTTTTCTTCCGAGTACGCTTGACCAGAAACCCCCTTCTGGAGAATAAAACGCGTCGGGTTTTCCCCCTTCCCACCAAGTCCTTTCCGACTGTTTTATCGGATTTATTGCCAAGTACAACCACTACACTCAAAGAAATGGCCCGTATAAGTGGGGGCGCCAGTTTTTGCCATTTTTGTATTTTAACAACCCACAAAATTTCGCAGCCCCAAAGTGGAGGCGAAAATACCTGCAGTCTTAGTGGCCTGCCTCTGGGAGTCGTTGAAGTAGGCAGGAACTGTCACGACGGCCTTGGTCACCTCGGTCTCGAGCTCTCCTCTGCCATCTCCTTCATTGCTTTCAAAATTTTGGCAGAGATCTGAATCGGAAGGGAATTAGTACATTGTCAATGAACGCAAACAGTTCAGAAAATGATCACCGTAATGTGAGGAGCGAGAGAAACCCCGGGTTTTTTACGGTGGAAAATAAAAAACCCAAAACCTTAGTTAAATGAAACCATTTATTTCTTGGAGATTTGCGTACCTCTTCTGGGGCGATCAACTCGGTCAATCCTTCCTTCACGATTTCGTACTTCGGAATCCCTCCATCGTTTATGACCGTGAATGACCAAGTGTTCAAGTCTTGCTGGACTTCTGTGTCGTCGAAACGCCGGCCCAGCAGACGTTTGGAATCTGTGACAAAGATTTCAAGAATTAACAGAATGGGAAGAAACTTTACTGCCTAAAAAAATCTAGGAAATTTTTACAAAAGTAATCATTATATGTAGTGTTCATAGTAAAGTCAACCCCCCACAGTGTCCTAAAGCAAAACCCAATTCGATGTGCCCTTTCAATACTTTCCCAAAGTTGCGTAGCTTTACGATTTCGACTTGCATAGCACTTTTTTAGATATGTTAAATACAAAGATATAGTTTGCAAATTATGAACTATTTTCTTAGTACTGCCAAATTAACTTTGAACCAAAAGCTAACCTATACTTTGTAAGGCTGAATGGTTTTCAGAGTGTGTAGTATACCGTAGGCCAGAGGCCTAGTGTGGAGGCCGCCAGAGGTCTAGACGCGTTTTAAGTGGTTTTGAGGCCCCGAGTCTACAAATGGGACTCGAACCGAACGTGTGACCCAACCAATGGATTGCTCTCCGAACGAGGAATCCATTGGTGCACTCTTAAAACCTTACGAAGTATTTTGAGCATACATATAACAAACTAAAATACTTTGTTATACGAAGAAATAGTTCCTAAATTACAAAGTATTTTCTTTGTAAGCTTATGTACGCTCAAAATACTTTGTTATACAAACTACTTTTCTTTGCAATGCCCAAAATAGTTTGTAAAGTTTGGGGTCAAACGTTCGGTTCGAGTCCTGTTTATCTACCCTGGAGCTCAAAACGCGTCTCAAGTTTTGGCTGCTGGCACCGGTCTCCTGGCAGATCCACTGTGCAGTGCAAACGGCACTCACCGAAGAGGGTGTTCTTGGTGGCTACGAGGTCCTTGGCGGCCTGGCCGATGTACTCCTCCTCCTCGTCGTCGCAGAAGGCCACGTAGCTCGGCGTGGTCCGCTGCCCCGCGTCGTTCTCGAAGATCTCCACCTTCCGCTTGCGGTACACGCCCACGGCGGAGTAGGTGGTGCCCAGGTCGATGCCCACGGCGAGGGTGGCGTTGGGAGCCATCGCAAACCTGCGACAAATACAACGCACACTGTGAGAAAAAAAGTACAGAACATGTCTGGTCAATAATTCATATGGAGCAAGTACGGAACGTTCCGTACTTTTCTCAAGCGCGGATCCAGGGGGGGAGGGGGGGGGGGCAAAAGGACAATTGCCCCCCCCCCCCCCTAGATAGCCGCCTGAAAGGTAGACAAAAAGCACCAATTTGCCCCTGTAAGTAGGCAAAAAGTGCTACTTTGACCCCCCCTTGGGCCGACTCTGGATCCGCCACTGACTTTTCTCCGTACCTCCGTACTATATTTTTCTGTACCATTTTCGTACAAAAGTACGGAATTTTTTACAGTGCAGGGTGAGTGGAGGACAAAGAGAACCAAGGTAGACCCTGGAGATCGACATGCAGACACGGTTCAGGCTGGATGCTAACTGAGAGAGGGGCACAGTGGGCCAGCCGGTCGAAATCCCAAACGCGTCTTGAGCTCTAGAGCCGCTAACCGGGACTCGAACCGAACATGTGAACCTATCTATGGATTGCTCTCCGAACGAGAAATCCATAGGGTCACACGCTCGGTTCGATTCCTGGTTTGCGACTCAAGAGTTCAAAACGGGTCTTGTAGCGCCTGCGAGGTAGGCCACCGGCCCAGCCGCAACACATCGGCGCAGAGACGCTGGACTACCTCGCCCCTGCCGTCTTCCGGGAGGCAAGGTAGGCCACCACCTGAACGTAGCGTAGGGTGTGTTGCGGTGCGGGCTGGCGCTTTGGGATGCACAAGACGGACTGTTCCAAGAGTTACTGAACACGCAAAAATCGCACGGGAATCATTCCACACGATTCACACTGCACAGCGGGCCAGATGCGGTCAATATCCTGGACGTCTCGAAACAAAGCCGGCCCCGGCCAATGGATTGCCCTCCGAACGGGGAATCCATTGGTGGAGGTCACTCTGTCGGCTCGAGTCCTGTTTAGCGACTCTAGGGCTCAAAACGCGTCTGGAGTTTTGGTCGCCGGGCGACTGCGCGCCGGTTCGCACCGCCACACTCACCGGCGAACGAAAACTACGACGCTCCAAGTCTCGACGGATGCACCGACAGACAGCACTCACAGGCACACAGTCGGGCAGGCCGCTGGCGGGCGACTGACTGGCGACTGGCGTAGCAAGCAAGGCGCGCCGGCTGCTGCGTGAGCCGGTGTGTTATTCCCCGCGAAGACGGGGGGGAGGGGGAGGGTGGGGTGGAGGAGGGTGGGGGCGGAAAGCGAGACTGGCGGCGGGCACAGTGGGCCAGAAAACCGGTGGGGGCGGCCAAATCTCTAGACGAGTTTTGAGCGCCAGAGTCGCTAAATAGGACTCGAACCGAGCATGTGACCCCACCAATAGGTTCCTCGTTCGGAGAGCTTGTTCATTGATGGGGTCACACGTTCGGTTTGAGTCCTGTTTAGCGACGCTGGAGCTCGAATCGTGTTTTGAGTTTTGACCGCCTCCACTTGTCTTCTGGCCCACTGTGCAGTGCACCGGGTCAGCCGCCTAGAAGACAGGCAAAGAGCCATACATACTCTCACCCAGATAAAGAAAGCAAAACTCTCTCCCCCCGGCCTCAGGATCCCCCACTGCTTCCGGTGGTCAAGAAGCAACGCCCCGAATGTTGCAGACCGCTGCATCGGCACTCCACCACGCCGACACGAGATAAGGTCCTGCCGAGTCTGATGACGCATCGGAGCGCGGGGAATAACTAACCGTACTCGAGCAATCCGCCGTTTGGTCGGGTTTCTGATGCGGTCGCATGTCCCGAGTTGAGATAAAAAGAAATCTCAAAAGTTCCTGCACCTGTTACCCTGCCTCCATACTGAATGTTCAGTACAATTTTGTATGAGACATCACTGTTTATAGTGCACACGAAATTTTCGTAAATTTTCGTACAAAAATCTGCACACTTTTCCGCACGAAAATCTGCAAACTTTTTCGCCATTTTTGGACAAAATTGTTCAAATTGTTGTACAAATTTGTACGAAAAGTTCGTGTGCACAATAAGCTGTAATGTCTAGAAATTTGTACAAATACATTATGTGTGCTCCGATGGGTATTAATTAGCGTCACTGACTTCACGAGATCTCAGTTCGAACTGCAACTGCAGCGACAGAAAAATAAGAGAATTGAAGCCGCTGTGAGATCAGACAAAAGCTTCGGACTCTAGGACATGAGTGAGACCTAGTACGGCTGCCCCTTTTTAAAACCCTTCCCCAATTACTTTTTTGTTTGGGTTTAGAAATTTTTTTTTAAACCGAAACCCCCTTTGGTTCGATTTAAAAGGGAACCCTTAAATTTGAAAATTTTGGGGCGGTAAAAAAAGGTAAAAAACCCTTTGGGAAAATTAAAAAGGAAATTTAAAAAAAATTTTAAACGGGTTTTAAAATTCCCCCGCAAACAAATTTTTGAAAAAAGTGAAAATACACTTTTGGATTTTTTTGGTTTTCAGAAAATAAAATGTCTTTTTTCCAGTGGGGTTCAACATGTGAAAGAAAAAGGATCACTACTGCGAACATATAGACGTCGTAAGGATTAAGAACAATTGGGGTCAAAATAACCGCGGGACATAGTGGAAACAACACGTCGCATGAGACAAACAATGATGTGTCAACGAAACGAAGAACCCAACCCGAAGTCAGACATTGAATTTTATAAAAATAGTTATCCACGCGTCAGATTGGTACGAAACTCCTCCGGCGCGTATCAATAACTCAACCTGACATGCCTGATCTCACCTATTGATAATATGCACGATTAGCCCCCGAGACCATCAGTGAAAACCCCCAGAGGAAGCGTGAGGTAAAAGCCTGCGTAACAGGGTGTTACGCAGGACTGATTTGCAAATGAGGAAGAACAGAACAATAAACTCTTCGGGAGGTGCTTCCGGATAGAGACTCGACATGGGCAATGGTGAGGTGCGTGAAGGTACCCGACCCGACAGGAGCCATGCCAGGAAGTACCGAAAATAGTACGTATGTGATGGACCATTTAGCTCGAGCCCCTGAAATCCCTTCTTGGAACAAGTAGGCCGGAAGTCAGCAAACACCGACCAATCATGAAGCCTTCTGTCTTCAAGGGTAGGCGCTACCTATTTGAGGGGAGGTCTCTTATGGGCTGAACTTCCGGTGCGTGTGAATTTCCGGGTGGAACATGCAACGAAATAGCCTGTTGAGGTCTAGAATGACAAAGTTTGACAGTATCGCCGGGGCACTTCGGGGCAGCATGGGACCAGACGAAATGAACTCCAGCAAAGCTGGTCGCCGATTTCACATGTAGAGAAATGAATGCAACCGAGGTTCGGTTGAGTTAAGGAATCAATACCTACTTCCGTTTGCGGACTCTTTAACTTCCGGTCTTCAACTGCGCAGGGAAATCCGGTTCAAATGGACGCAAGTAGCTGCGTTTTAGGAATTTTCAAACTAAGAAGAGAAACAAGAAACCGGAAGCAGTATGAGGACTGAATGGGTAAAATTGTTATTAGCCTCGAGTCTTTCGCTTCCTTTATTGAAAAAGTTTGCCTCAGTTATAGTCATGTGAGGACTGCAACATCTACCCTCAAATGATCTATTTCCGGTGTTTCTGATTCCCCTGCTCTCGAGTCGAGGAAGAATTACTAAAAGCGCCTTACAGTACTTACTAGCGTGAAGAAGAAGCGTATGATTCACCGGAGACGAAGGCGGAACTCAGCTTGTGTGAATCGAAATGATCGCCGAGACGAAGCCAAAACTCAGCCAGTGTGAATCGAAATGATAACTTCAGCCTCCCAAACTAATCTCTGACCTCATTCCTCTCGTTCTTCGATCTGTTAGACGCGACTGGTCCAGTGGCTCGGACCACCCACCCCGGGCTTTGAGAAGAAGCTTCCCTTACCTTCAAATCTTGAAGTTTTTCTTCCTCAAGCACGAAAACACACAGAGTCCGTCACACTCTTTGTCTGGGCCAACGGCAGTGGAGCTGGTGCTATGGATATCGAGTTGTGCAGCGCAAGCGTCTCGACGAGGGGAATACTGTGAGGGGAATACTCTGCGCGGGGCTCGCTTGGGGGAAGGGGCAGGGGAGCGGAGGGGCACTGCTCAGTCGTCACTCGTCTCGCCCGGTGTCGCGTCGTGCTCTGCCAGAGCCAGCGTTGCCGCTAGTCGAAGTTGTGTTCTCGGCCAGGCAGGTTGCGTTTTCGAGTCTCAGGGAAGTTTATAGTGTCCTACGTGTTCTTTAGTGCTCGTACCGCGAATCCTTGAAGAATGGCGCAGAAGGGTGAGTCCAGTGGCTAGTTCTCGTTGTTTTCTCGGCAGACAAATAGACACTTGTAGCAGAACCCAGGATGAAGAAGTAGACGAAGAACTGGAAACAGACGCCTTTTAGAGTTTATTTGTTGTTGGGGAGTGTTCATGGTGTTCGTTCACCATTCTAAATTTCTAGATAGATAAAATCGGAATATACCGATGTCTGGTACTGTCTATGTTTGGGGTTTACTAGTATTCTGTATTGAAGAGATTTCGACGGATTTTTGCACCTATGATGTGCTTTTTTTTTTGCCTCTTTGGGGAAGATTTCAGATTTCTAAAGATTTCGGGGGCTGTAGTGGACTCAAGATGTCACGAGTGGTTGCCCCATCGTTAAAGGCCGCCGGAAGTGTGTGTCTACACTCCCAATTTCCTCTGATCTGCGCAACGCTGCATTACAAGAGTGGGCGGGGGATCCAAGCCAGCTTAACGTTACGCTAACTACTTTCAATATGAGAGCGCATTTTAGAAGGCCATACGTTAAATACGGGTAATTAATGTTGTTATCTGAGAAACCTTGCGTAACGTTTAGGCTGTTAGGGGGTGGGGGTGAGATGGTGGGTCAGACCCAGCGTAACGCTGGGGTGTCTTGAAGTGCCCCAAAGTGAAATTGAACAGCTTTTATTGTTGCTGTCCGCAGGTGTGGTGATGAAGCCGTCTGGCGATGGCCCCGTGGTGGGCATCGACCTGGGCACCACCTACTCCGTGGTGGCCGTGTACCGCAGGGGCAAGGTGGAAATCTTCTCCAATGACAACGGCAGCCGCACCACTCCCAGTGTGGTGGGCTTCATGGACGGCGAGTCCTTCGTCGGGGAGGCGGCCAAGGACCTGCCGGCCTCCAACCAGGTCTACGGTAAGTTCCCTGGATCGGCTCTGATCAATTTACCGATTGCAGGCGGGGCGGGAGGGGATCAGAAACTAGAAGTGGTCATCTCACGGATTATCCCATCTATACTTCAGGCAGAGCCATAATTTCTCACAACATGTCACTCGATATTATGTTTGAAAATAGGAGTCAGTATGGCTTGAACGATTTGTGGTTTGTGCCTTTGGAAACAACGCTTCAAATTGACGTGGTAGCTCCTAGCGGTATATAAATGTAAAATTTCGGCTCTGCGCAGAAGGCTGTTTTTACGACAAGAAAACTTGCGGGAATGGAACGGTAGATACCGGGTCGAGGCGCGGACGGTTTGAAGCGATAGCGTGGTGCGGTGCACACTTGCCACAGTCGAAGACATTGCCAGCAACCCATTCTCATGGACATCAAATAGAATAACCCACACCACGATTTTTTTAAAAAAAAATTGGCTTTTTGGTACAGGGGCATCTTGGTAAACGACAGCAAACCATAAAAGAATTTTCTCAGGACGTTAACGTTTGTTCCCGAGGTGAAGCAACTCCAGAAAATTTGTACACTGTAATTCATGGTCATTCCCGAATTTTTGTCAAATCCTTTCAAAATCCATGAGTGAGTTGAATTTCGATAAAAAATCTTAGGAACCAATGAAACTCATATACAAATTATTGAAAATTTTGTCGAAATACATCGAAATTCATCAGATATTCATGTGGAATTCAAAACTCTGTACACTGAAATTGAGAGCCATTTTCCCTTGTTCGTATCGTAGACGCCAAGCGGTTGATCGGCAGGCCCTGGAAGGACGAAAAGGTGCAGTCCGACCGGAAGTCTTGGCCCTTCGAAGTGTTCGAAGAGAAGGGCGCCCCCAGGATCAGGGTGGACGTCGGTGGCAAGAAGGAGACCTTCGCCCCGGAGGAGGTGAGACAAGTCTACAAACTTGCAAGTTATCTAAGATGATTAAGGCGCCTGACAGACTCAAAATAGTCTATACGAAGCACGTTGGTGTAACTTAAACGTAACTGTATTCATAGTTACGAGCACAAAGTTACGCTTGAAGTTGTTAGCCTTGAAATAGGAACAGACCAGGCAACTCCCCCATGCCTGTTGCGCTTGATTTTCAGTGCAAACTGATTAATGCGTGGTAAAAGAAAATAATAAATTTTATTGGTGCATCTACTTGTTTAAAGGCTTCATGGAATTGCTTCGTATCGTAAAGAAATTACCAAGGATTTTGTCTCACATTATACGAAGCATTTCTTCGTTGATGGTACAATGCCTCCTATTTCCTCGTAATGGAGCGATGCTTCGTAGACTTTTAAATCCTGTGTGAGTGTGCATGCGGTCAAGTACAGTTTTTGGGTTTTTGCCTTCTCCAGATCAGTGCGATGGTTCTCCGGAACTTGAAGGAAACTGCAGAGGGCGCGCTGGGCGAGCCAGTCAACAGGGCCGTGATCACAGTGCCGGCCTACTTCGACGAACGGCAGCGGCAGGCAACCAGGGCCGCCGGTAGGTCAAAACCCACCAGCGTACTATGCACAGAGGGCCAAGGCCGATGGAGGCGGACAAAATTCCAGACGCGTTTTGAGCTCCAGAGTCGCTAAACAGGACTCGAATCAAACGTGTGACCCCATCATTTGATTCCTCGTTCGGAGAGCAATCCATTGGTGGAGTCACACGTCCGCTTCGAGTCCTGTTTAGCGACTAGCTCAAAACGCGTCTGGAATTTTGGCCGCCTCCACCGGTCTTCTGGCCCACTGTGCTCTGTGTACTTTTAAGCTTGTAGTGTAGTGTTTCCACTACATCTCCCTCCCCTCCACCCTCCGCAGGCAGGATCGCGGGGCTGGAGGTGGTGGCCATGATCAACGAGCCCACGGCCGGCGCCATCGCCTACGGCCTGGACAAGAAGTCGGCCAAGAAGAAGACGGTGTTCGTCTACGACCTGGGCGGCGGCACCTTCGACGTGTCCGTCATGGTCATCGAGGGCAGTGAGTTCAAGGTTCTCGCCTCGGGCGGAGACACGCACCTCGGCGGACAGGACTTCGACTTGCGTCTCGTGTGTTACTGCGTGGAGGTGAGTTCCCGCGGATTGGGGACGGGGTACAGTGGGCCAGAAGACCGGTGGAGGCGCCCAAAATCCCGGACGGGTTTTGTGCTCTAGAGTCGTTAAATGGGACTCGAACTGAACGTGTGTCCCCACCAATGAATTGCTCTCCGAACGAGGAATCCATTGGTGGGAACACATGTTCAGTCCCAGTCATATTTAGCAACTCTGGTGCTCTAAACGCGTCTAGAGTTTTGGCCGCCTGCGCTGCCGGCCGGGTCTGGGCCTGCCACTGGACGGCTACGTCCTGCCGTGAGTCGTCCGCGAGGCCGCTTCCGGTGTAGGTGTCGGATGGCGAGCGCGGTGGCGGTACACCACTCGTTGATAAGCGAGGCGCTCGGAGAGGCGCCGAGACGAGAAGAAGTCAACGTGTTACTAGTCACTGCACGCTTAAAACCTTTTGAAGTATTCTTAGCACATGTGATGTTCAAACCATCTAGTTTGTCACGAAGGTTTTGTTTGTTATCCTATGCATGCCGAAAATTCTTAGATGTAGCAAGGTACTTTTGCTTGTGAGGCTTGTAACGGCTGCTTTCTCTAGTGTGGATCGATCGACGTAAATAAAAAGTTTGTAGCGTACTTTCCTGAAATTTTATGGTAGATATTGATCCGGCTCTGACCTCTTCCTTTTGTTTTACCCAGGAGATCCGCAGACAGCACGGCGTGGACCTCGCGGCCCTGCAGGACAAGCAGAGCTTGCAGGACTTGCGCAAGGCGTGCGAGTTGGCCAAGCGCATGCTGTCCAGCCTCCACGAGGCTCCAATCTCCGTGTTCCTGACCCGTCACCAGATCGGCTACAACACCAAGATCAGCCGGGCGCGCTTCGAGAACCTGTGCGCCGACCTGTTCAAGAAGACCGTGGATATCACCAACGAGGTCCTGGCCGACGCAGAGGTGGGTCATCTGGCGTGACGGTCCGTTGCAGCACTCTCTAAACGTTGCTGCACAAATTTTGCGAGAGACCTGAGGTTTTTGAGCAGATGTTCGTACATATTTTTACGTTATTTTGAACCAATTGGTGGAAAATGTGCGGTTTCTCGTATTAAAATCGTTCTGAAAGTTCATCTGCACCACAAAAAACCTATATGAAAAACTAGTCTCCTACTCTAGAAAGCGTTTTGAGCTCCCGAGTCGCTTGACGGACTCGAACCGAACGTGTACCCCCACCAATAGATTCCTCGTTCAGAGAGCTATCCATTGGTGAGGTCACACGTTCGGTTCGAGTGCTGTTTAGTGACTCTAGGGCTCAAAACGCGTCGGGGATTCACCGCCTCCACCGATGACGATGACCGGTCTTCTGGCCCACTGTGGCGTGGAGAAATACTCCGCTCCAGGAAGTTTGGAGTTCTCCGTACTTAGTTTTACAGTGGCATTCCCCTTCTGTTTGCAGATGAGCCACGCTGCCATCGACGAGGTGGTGCTGGTGGGCGGCTCGACGCGCATCCCCAAGGTGGTGTCCTCCCTCGCCGCCCTCTTCGGCAAGGAGCCCCGCAAGTCCATCAACCCCGACGAGGCCGTGGCCTACGGCGCCGCGGTGCACGCCGCCACACTGTCGGGGGACAAGTTCGTGGAGAACCTGGTCAAGCTCAAGGATGTGACCCCGCTCTCTCTCGGTGTCCAGATTCTCGGCGGAAGATTTTCTTCTCTGATAAAGAAGAACAGTCCAGTTCCTGTGAAGAACACGCAGAGATACTTCACCGTGCAGCATAACCAGCTGCAATGTGGATCCGATGTAAGCATTTCTACCTCGCAATTTTACAGAAACGTAGTGAATTGAACGGGACAAACAAACTACTCTGAGAAAACATTTCAGTTTATTTCAGGCCTTGCTAAGAAAAGCAGCTTGTTATAACAAAGTATTTTGAGCATGAGCAAAAAAATACTTCGTTATTAACTATTTCTTTATTAAACTAAGTTAATTAGTTCGTATTAAGTGTGCTCAAAATTCTTCGTAAGGTTTTTAAGCGTGTAGATAGATGCTTCCCCACTTTCGTTTCGCGTAAATGCGTTTCTGTGCCATCCACCTGCTCTCTCTAACGATGTTTTGCTTGTCCAGGTGTACCAGGGCGAGCGCCCCCTCGTCAAGGACAACCACTGCCTTAACAAGAAGTTCGTCGTGGACGTGCCTCCCAGGCCCGCCGGCCAGTCCAGCATCGACGTCACGTTCGAGATCGACACGGACGGGTTGCTGACGGTGACGGCCGTGGAGCCCACGACCAAGAAGCAGGCCCAGGTCAAGATCACGCAGAAGGAAGCGCATCTCAGTGACAAGGACATTGAAGAAATGATCGAGAAGGCTAAGCGCTACCAGCGCGAGGACGACGAAGAACTGAGGCGCATTGAAGAGTCGCTGAGAAATGGGCGGTTATTCTAGAACGTCTCCAATTACAATCGTGTGTTCAAAGTTTTTTTTTCTGCGTTTTTGAGATGCTTTTATGACTCAACGAGAAATGCACATGGAGGGCAGTTCGTAGTTGAGGACTTTTGTTTCTTTTGTTTACAAAACTAAGTTCTAGTGGCTTGCTGAATGCTGGTGGATTTTTCATTAAAAAATACATTTTTTGCTGTTTACTCATACATTTTTTTGCTTTTTACTGGTATCAGGTGTTTGTTCTCTGTTTACAAAACTAAGCTGGTGGCTTAGTCAACAATGGTGAAATTTCCATGACAAAATAAATGTATGGTTTGCTTCTCACTGGTAACAAGTGTATTTTATTTGAGCAAAGTTTGGTTTCTACCCACGTTCTGGTTACATTATGGTGTTTATTTTTTAAATCATTCTTTTTTTATGAAAAAGGGGTGGGGGCACATGGCCCTTCCACCGGGGCCTGCTAGTCGGTTTCGTAATTTTTGTTGATTTCGGGCGAGTACAAGAAAAGAGCGCTAATGGACCAGAAGACCGGTAGAGGTGGTCAAAATCGCGGGCGTGTTCTGAGACCCACAGTCGTTAAAGGGGACTCGAACCAAACGTGCGACTCCACCAATGGATTGCTCTCCGAACGAGGAATTCATTGGTGAGGTCACACGTTCGGTTCGAGTTTTGTTCAGCGACTCTGGGGGTCAAATCGTGTCTTGAGTTTTGGCCGCCTGCGCTGGTCTTCTGGCCCACTGTGCAGCGCTGTCAACCCTAGCACTGACCAAGCGAGAAGGGAGCGCCGGCAGGTTGGGCCCGCCCGTAGAGCATGCGAGTACGCGGGGTTGCCTATCCTCTCTTGGTCGGGCGCTCTGAGACGGATCAACACGAATATGGTACTCCAATGGGAGAGCTCAAGTAAGCCCTAAAACAGCTTTTAGACATTTAGAGTGCACGGCTCGTGTTTACATGCAGCTTATGCGCCCAACGTTAGTATTTTAGTTGCTGGAAAATCG